AGAACCTGAGTGGAGCAAGGCAGGACATGCCCAGCTATCTTCTGGACTGAGACACCAGTGTGGCTGGAATGAAGGTGTGAGGAAAGGAACAGGAGATGAGCAGTGGCAGTTGACAGCCAGACCACACAGAGCCTGTGGAGGCTCGGAACGCTGAGCCTGGGCAGCCCAACGCAGTGGCCACTGACCACAGGCGCTCAGTCCTCTGGTTGCACCAATCACATCTGGAGTACTCAATGGTCGCATGTGGCTAGTGACCATTGTCAACTGGACAGTGCTGGGCTAGAACATTCCATCAGTGCACAAAGTTCAACTGGATAACACTGTCTAAGACTTCGATAGTGTTAAGACATTGTCCTGTAACATTTCCAAAACTAACAGAAATGACACAGTGCCTGGCACATGAAACACACCCAGTAAAGACTAAGTCTTATTTCTTCTAGGCTTTATAATGGAAAATTTTACAGTTGCATCCAGTACTGAGATGTTACATCTACTCATGTCTTTCTCCCCACTGGAGCACACCCATGCCAGACTAGGGTGGTACCCCAGCACCCAGACCTGAGAAGCAACAGAAGCATTTGTTGAGATGAACTGCTTTGTTTCATTACTGTTGTTGGCTGACACAGTGCTGCAGGGGCCAAAGTCTTTACCTCCCATTTTGCTACCTTGGCCGGTGCTGTGCTGATCCAAAGCCAGGAGTCAGGAGCTTCCTCCAGGTCTCCCATGTGGGTGCAGGTCCCAAAGCTATGGGGTGTCCTCGACTGCTTTCCCAGGCCACAAGCAGGGAGCTGGATGGGAAACGGGGCTGCCGGGATTAGAACCGGTGCCCAAAGGGGATCCCGGCGCAGACAAGGTGAGGACTTCGGCTGCTAGGCTACCATGCCATGCCCCCTACTTAACTTTCAAGTGTTCAGTCAAGTCTCAGTCACTCCTCTGATCAACTGGTACACACCTGTCCTTGCAGGCCACTGGAGACACAGAGGAACGTCTCCCAGAGCTCGAGCTCCATGCGGAGCCTATCAAGGCCTCTTTCATTCACTCACCAGAGCATCTAATTATCACCCCTTTCATACTGATACCTAAATGCTGTACACACCCATGTGTTATTTTTAGGGAAATAAACTGCTGCTCTATAGAATTAAAAAAGGAACTGGGTATAGAAGAAAATCTCAAATATTTACTGGATTATTTTCTACAAAGAAATATCTACATCCTGCCTATCTTTTTTTGAATAAAAATGTGACACAGGTAAAGCTTCAGGTAAGAAAATAATAAACAATCTGAAGCATCTCCTACACACATTCGCACCAAACTCCCACACCTCTGTGCTTATCTCTGTAGCTGGGCGTGAAAGGAGGTCAGGAATTTTGAAGAGCAGCCGAAATTATTAGGGGGAAGAACAGAAAGACAATTATAATAGCTAATTATCTGCGACAAACAGGGACTACGGGGAAAAAAAGTGCAATCAGGTTGCTGCCCAATTAAAATGGTCAGGATAATTGTGGGACCATTTTTTCTGCCAACGAAGAATTGTGCAACAGGAGAAGGCCTTGGTGGGTGGTGAGCCTAGGGGACGGGAAACAGGACAAGGAAAACTGGAGCCCATGTGGTTCTGAAGGGAGGAGACGTGCTCATCCCGTGCAATCACAGACCATAGCGGAACTGGACGCGGTTCTCTCATAGAGAGCCGGTCCCACTGAGCGGCAGGAGGCCACAGAACTGAGTTTCCCAAATCTAATTCAGGAAATGAAGGGTAAGAATGTAGACTGTTGGCAAAGGGACAGACACACTGAGCTGATTTCTTCTTCATCCCGATCTGAAACACTTGGCTAAGGACAGAATGTTTACAAATGTCACCGAGGCACCTGCTTTACATGTCACTCAAGAGTGACTGCGAACATGAACTCTGCAAGTCACACTGCCTGTGTTTACAACCCCATAACCCAGGCTCGCACCAACTAGGTGTGTGACTTGGGGCAAAGTCCTCAGCTCCTTGGGTCTCAGTTACTTCCAGTGAAAAATGTCATTCATGGACCGCTTTCTTTACAGAACAACAATAACAGCAACAAGATTTATTTGAAAGAGAGGGAGACAGACATCTTTCATCTTCTGGTTCATTCCCCAAATGGCTACAAGTTGGGAGGGTGAGGCAAGGGTGGATGGCGGGAGCCTAAACACTGGGTCCTCTCCTGTCTTTCCAGGGACTCTGGATTAGCAGGAAGCTGAAGCAGCAGCAAAACTGGCACCCTGATGTGGGCAGTCATGCCACAAGGCCAGATGTGGGATCTACCTTACAAGGTGGTGGTGAAGGTTACACAGCATGCACGGACTCAGGAAACAGGGGTCTGGCACCTGGTAAGTTCTCAGTAATCGATGGCTATTAACATACTTCTAGAACTCATGATAATCAGGAAACAAATATTTTTTAAAGATTTAAATACATTTAGCATTGGGAAATCAATGAATGAGACCTAACACAACTGGGGCATACTCAGTCTTAGTAGCATCTAAGCCATGGGCCATGTGCAGGATGGCAATGCCCACTTTCTGGAAGCTTTTTTTCCTAGAAAGTGATGACCATTAGCTTTGCCAACGTTCCCCTTCCCCCCACTCCCTCTTTTAAGGACTATTCATTCTGGCTGGCACTGAGGTGTAGCAGGCTAAGCCTCCACCTGTGGGGCCGATATACCACAAGGATGCTGGCTGAGTCCCACCTGCTCCATTTCTGATCCAGCTTCCTGCGTATGGCCTGGGAAAGCAGCAAAAGAAGGCCTGCACCCTTGGGCCCCTGTACTACACAGGAGACCAGGAAGAAGTCCCAGGTGCTTGGCTCTGGGCCAGCCCAGTTTTGGCTGTTGCAACTATTTGGGGAGTGAACCAGCAGATGGAAAGTCTCTCTCCGTAAACTCTGACTTTCACATAAAAATAAACAAATTAAAAATACTAAAAAGTTTGATGAAAATACTTTAAAAATTACAGAGAGGGATTTTCCATCTGTTGAGTTCATTCCTCAGATAGCCGCCATGCTGAAGCCAGGTGCTGACCTGGGGGTGGCAGGGGCCCAACGATCTCAGCCAGTTTGCCAACCCCTTCTTTACCACTTCTGAAAGGCATCTATCTATACAACATGGGAGACAGAGAATTCAATTTACAGACAAGCTGTCCTCACAGCTGCCACTGCTAACTTAGGTGCCAAACTGGTGAAGTTCTCTTGTTTAGCCAAAGGTTTCTAGACTCCGTAGCTCCTTAAAAGTGCAAGGACGCACCTTCTGGTTCACCTACTCTCTACGAAGGCCTTCCTTCAGGTCAGGCCAGCCCGAGGGCCTGGCAGGTAGATTCCTCTCCTCTCCGGAAGCACTGAAGTCCCTCCCCACCCTCGAGCGCCCTCTTGTATCTCATCTGAAAGCACCAGTTTGAACAGCCCTACCCTGAGCCCTGGTGTGTGGTGTGGCAGGTCTCAGTTCCCTTTCTGCAGGGTAGGGCACACATCTGTGACTGCTTCACTGCCTGAATTATGTTGAAGGCCTCCAGCACTACAGCTCCTTGATGGCGAAGACCACCTGTGTCCATGGCCTCACCTTCCAGTAAGCTCAGCACACTGACAAGCACCTAGGACACACTACCTTTTCAACGAGTGAAACAGGGCTGCCTGCCGTCCCTTTTAGCTGGAAACAATAATCATTAGACCGCAGAAAACTCCGCGACTTGGACTTTGGGAGCCTAGGAAGGCAGTTAAGAACCACATCACTAGAATCAATTAAACAGATGGCTCCATTCCAAGTGCAGCTGGAGTGATGTAACCTGCTCATGACCAGCACCTTCACCAAAAGATTTAAAGCAAAATACCAATTTTGGGAACAAAAGTTCACGAGATTCTGAGTTGGAACTTACAAAACAAGGTTCTCATACATTCAAAACTCCCCTTAGGTGGGACAGCTGGTGAGTATACACAGCACACAATTCAAGGATAAGAAAATGTTTACAACACAGTGACCCTCCATCCTCCCCCACCCCTCCCCTAAGGGGAGCTAGTTCCCCTTTCCAGAAGGTACCACTGCTGTCAAAGGCTTGTGCCTTCTTCCAGATGCCTAGCGAGCACATTTATCCCTCTGGTGTAAAGCGCACTTGTATTTGGAGAACTGTTCCAACCTTGTTTCGTTCTTTTTTCAACCTGCCATATCCTCAGACAACTCCCCCCACCCCTTCTTACTTAGCAATATATGCTGCAAACGAAGGCTCGGGCGTCTGTATTTTTAACAAACACCCTAGACGATTCTAAGGTAACACCAAACAGAAACCCCTCACTGGCCGGGGCTGAGCTGCGGTACATCGGAAACGCGGAGGCTGAAGAGTCGCCCTCAAAATGAGCCTTGCTGTACTTTGCCTTCCTCCCCCACCAAGAGAAAGCAAAATCGTTTCCCGGTGTCTCCACAGACGCCATTCGAACGCATATTGCCAAAAAATTATCTCGATCTTCAATGGTTGGCTCTACCGCCTGCGCACTCTCACCCAAAGTCCCAAACTCCTGGTTACCCCAGGTACTCTGGGACAAGAACGGGGTGTGCTCCCCCCGGCACTCGGGCTGCTCCCTGCTTTAGTAGGTTCACGGCGGGCCCTCAGACCCAGAGCCCAGTCCGCGCCCCCCGACCTCCCCGAGCCCATGCATGGGCGGGCCGTGGCGGAGAGGTGGGCCAGGAGTTTGCTCCAGGCTCCCGCCGGCCTGACCTGACCTCTGCCGGGGGCCACAGAGCGGGTCTGCCCGGCCTCTCCGCAGTGTCCCCTGCACGAGGGCCACCGCGCCGCGGGCATCTCCGCGTGTCCTGCAGCATGGAAGGGCAGCGCGGGGGGCTCCGGCGCCTGCGCGCCCCTCGCCCGGTCCGAGGGGCTCCGCCCGAGCCCCCCGCCCCATCCCAAGCCGTCCATCAACTTCCTCCCCCCTCCCCGCCGACCGGCTGGCCCTCCCGCTCAGGCCCGACTCCCGCCCTCCTTCCTCCCCTCACCCAGCATGATGGGGCTGAGTCGTCGGGCCAGGCCCTTGGACAGGTCGTACACGTAGAGCTTCACCGGATAGAGATTCGGCGGCTCCATCGGGGCCCGTGGCGGCGGCCACCACGGCCCTCGGGCACCCGGCAGCGGCTTGGACCTTCCCGTACCCGACCCGGGCGGGGAGAGGTGGGAGCGGGACCGGGGGGAGGGGGGAACCGAGCCCGGGCCCGGCCTGAGGGGCGGGGGAGAGGCCACCCTACGCTGCTCGCGCCCCCGCGCCCGCTACCGGCAACGACTACTGTGAGGTGACAGAGAGGGGACGGGAAGGGTCTCGGACGGAAGAGGGGGCGGGGGCGGGGACTCCCTTGCGCGCATGTGCGCGCACCGTCTGACGGACGGCGGGGGCGGGGCTTTGCCGAAGGGGGCGGGGCTCTCGAGGCCGCGCTTGGCTTTGGGCCGGAGACGAGTGTGAGAGGAGCCGGCGGCTGGAGTGGGTGTGTCCGCCTACCGCGCAGAGTCGCGCACTGTGCGTGATGACGCACGCGCGACGCTGCGTGCTTCCCAACTCGGGGCGAGTGGCGCTTCCCTGCCCTGGAGAAGGCAGGCTGCTGCCCCTAGTGTGGCTCCTTCCTGCCCCTCTGCTCGTTCGGCGTCAGCCGGAAGTGGGCAGACCTGAGCGGGAAGAGAGACAACCCAGACAACCCCGGGACCCCGCCCCAGTCCGGGAGCCGGCCCGCGCTCGCGCAGCACTTGCTGGGGGCCTGAGGGAGCTTGCTTTTTGAGGGTGGGAGAGCGGGCTCTCCCGGAGCAGGACCCCCTTCCAGGAAAAGGGGTGGCTGCTGCTGCTGCTAGGCCGAGTCCTCTCGACAGACCCCAGAAGTAGGACTTTTCAGTTTAAATTTGCTTATTTCATTTAGTAGTGCAGCAGCACCCACCATGTCTGACTGGGGATCTTACTACAAAACCGAGGGGGATGGCGACGTGGAGGAAGAGGAGGAGAGCCCCGAAGCAGGTGGTGAGTGGCCGGGAGGGACTCCCGTGCCCGTTTCTCTCCCCGGATAATCGGAAGTGCTTTTCTCCTTTGGAACTTCTACAGGGCCACCCGTCTCTGGTTCAGGTCCCTGGGACATTTTCCCACCCATGATTTTTTTTTTTTTTTTTTTTTTTTGCGCACTGGTAGGTTGGCAGCTGTTGAGCCCCCCCACTAAATGACCCTGACCAGAGATCATTTAAAAAGTTTCCGGGGAGATTCTTGCTTTGCCGGAATATGTGGTTTTACGCATCGCGGGACCTCAGTGTTTAAACTCCTTCATGCTGTAGTTGCTGTGACGGCAGCACGTTCCAGGAGAGAGATTCCGTCCCTGTCCCAGGCTTGTGATTGCAGGGGCTGGCAAGGGAGAGGGGAAAAAGCACGTGTGTGATTGGACAGCTCGTGAATCTAACTCCTGGGTAGACATTTGTTTCTTTAAAGATTTATTTACTTGTTTGAAAGGCAGAGTTACAGAGAGGGAGGGAAAGAGAGAAATGGCTAGAAATTCTGGAGTTTTTTTTTCTATATTAAAAGCAGGAAGCATGCTGCAATATATATGCTTGTGAAAAGTACAAGAGAAAATGGGACTGCGGTCTGCATACATGCGTGATGTACCACTGCCAGCATTTTGGCATTTTTCGTATTTTCCTCCTGTATTAGTGACATTTCCTAAGTATGCATAGCTGTTTTTCTTGTATGCGACTTTGTATTGTAATTATGGTGTGTTACATGTTTTCTTTCACTTTAATATATGCAAGTCTTCAAAAAGGGATTTATAAGGTGGGAGACTTGGAAGAGGCTCTGGGCTGTTGACTTCAGATCAGCTCAGCTCAGCACCAGCTGTTGCAACCACCTGGGGAATGAATCAACAGATGGAAGATCTTCCTTTCTGTCTCTCCTCCTCTCTATGTATCTGATTTTCCAATAAAAATAAATCTTTTAAAAAATTGGAAAAATTATTGTTTAAAAGACTTACACAGAAAAAGGAAAAAAAGAACAAAATATTTATTTCTATTGGAAAGACAGAGGAGAGGCTGAGAGATCTGTCAGCTAGCTGCAACAGCTTAAGCTGCGATGAACAGGAGCCAGGAGCTTCTGGGTCTCCCACGTGGGTGCACGGCCCAAGCACTTGACTCGTCTTTCACTGTTTTCCCAAACCATCAGCAGGGAGCTGGGTCTGAAGTGCAGCAGCCAGGACATGAATTGGCACCTGCCTTGGCTGCAGGTGCCACAGGGCAGAGGGTTAGCTTGCTGCTGTCACCATGCTGGGTCTTCAGTTGCTTACTTTAATAAGGATTAGGAAGTAACAGTATCAGAAGGGGAGACAGTCAGGTGTTACATATCTTTTTAAGAAAGACATAAGATATTCACATCAGAAAGAAGAAAGAAAAGCTGAATGTGATTAGGCTGGCTGGGTTCTCAGAAGAGCAGGGGACTACATACACCGAAGGATCTGGCTAGTGAAATCCTGATGGTGGACAGGGTACTTGACAGGGCACCCCGGATTTTCAGTAAGTCACAAGGAAAACGGGGAGGGGTAGCTGTGGATTAAGAAGCTTCAATGACTTATTTTTTTGAAAAGTCAAAACTCATGTTTAAGGATGTACTCATGAGTGAGCAAACTGCTAGACCTGAAGGCAGGAGGCAGCTCTTACAGGCAGGCTAGAAGTTCCTGCTGGCTGAAAGTAGGTGCTGTAACTGGGGAATCTGGGAAGGATTTCAGGGTGGCCGACGAGGCCTCATTTCAGGATTTGGGTGGTGGTTTCAAAGCACGTTATGGTGATTCGTTTGATGACATTTTGACCTTATGGGATATTCTCTGTTTTCTGTGGATGGTAAACGTGGTAAAAATGAATACAAAGGCGAGTGTTTGCTCCCGTCTTTTCCCCTCATAGGAGAATACACGTATTCAGGAAGAGATAGCTTGATTTTTTTGGTTGATGGCTCCAGGGCTATGTTTGAATCGCAGAGTGAAGATGAACTAACTCCTTTTGATATGAGTATCCAGGTAAGACCACCTTTATTTATTACATTTTTTCCTAAAGAAAGTATTTAACACCACTTAAGGATGTCTGGACTCTGGGGTGGGTGTCTGGCCTAGCGGTTAGGATGCTGACATCTGTCGGTGTTGTGTTTGATGCCGGCTCCAGCTTCCTATTGATGGGGACCCTGGGAGGCAGTGATGCTGGCGCAGGTCGTTAACTTCCTGCCAACCCTTTGGATTGAATCCCTGCTTCTGCCTTTGGCCTGGAGAGAGGGAGATAGCACATGGGAGCACTCACTTTCTCTCCCAAAAGAAAGAAAAAATAAAGACTGAGAAGTTGCTTGGTTAGCCTATACTTGTATACAGTGTGCAAAAGTAACAGTAGTTTAGAAGCAACCATGTTGAGTGTCCTTTATTCTTGGTTTGACCTTCAGAGTCTAGGAGAGCAAGGCCCCTACCTGACAGGCTAGCTCTGATAGACAAGTGGGCTCCTCCTGTAGAGACAGGAGCACAGTCTGGCAGTTACAGCGTGAAGCTTCCTGTTGTAACTGACCTGTGGGAGGTCAGTCCTATGTGTGACTGTAAAAGATAACAAAGACACAAACCACTCCAATTGGAACAAGGACCAGAGTAGACATTTCTCCAGAGATGTACGCATGACAAACAAGCACGCGAGGAGATGCTTCAGTCATTAGAAAAATGCAAATGAAAGCCACAGCAAAATAGCACTTCACACCCACCTGCTAACTGTAACATAAAAGCAAGCAAAAAATAGGTGTGGGCTGTGAAACAGTTGGAATCTTCAGGCATCGCAGTTGCTGTGTAAAACAGACAAGTTAAAAACAGAATTACCATAGGATTCTGTAATTCCACTCGTGTGTGCAATAATACAAAATGATTCTGCCACTTACAAACAGCACATGTTAGAACAGTTGTTGAACTGCTTGGAATCTTGTTATGTCATCTGTAAGATGGGGAAGCTAATGCTACGGTCTTTTAAACTTGTTGTGACCGTTAAATATGTTTTGCTCCTTAAAATGAGGTATAGGGACTGGTGTTACGGCATACACGGCTAAGCTGCTGCTTATCTGGGTTCGAATCCCTCCTCCACTGTTTTAAGATTTATTTATTTCATTAAAAGCGGGTCCCAAGGCTTTGGGCTGTCCTTTACTGCTTCCCCAGTCTACAAGCAGGGAGCTGGATGGGAAGTGGAGCAGCCAGGACATGAACCTGTGCCCATATGGGATTCCAGTGCATGTAAGGTGAGGGGGGACTGAAACAGGACAGCTAGGTAGCAAAGGTTAGGGTCACAGGTTGGAAGCCCCCCTGCCCTGCTCTTCATAAATTTCACCAGCCTATGTATCAAACAGATGACCCCTTCCCAGGATGCACTTCCCCTCACCAGAGACCTGGGAGAGAGCATGAAACCACTCCTCTCCCCAAGATCACCTGAACACTGGCAATGCAGAGGGGCCATCTCTTCCCACACACAACAGAAGGCAGAGAGCCCAGAGAGACGGCTCAGTTGACTAATCCTCCACCTTGCAAGTGCCAGGATCCCCTGTGGGCATCGGTTTGTGTCAAGGTTGCTTTACTTCCCATCCAGCCCCCTGCTTATGGCCTCAGAAGACAGCAGAGGACGGCCCAAAGCCTTGGGACTCTGCACCCATGTGGGAGACCAGAAGAAGCTCCTGGCTCTGGATCAGCTCAGCTCTGGCCATTGCGGCCACTTGGGGAGTGAACTAGCAGACAGAGATCTTTCTCTCTGTCTCTCCTTCTCTCTATAAATCTGACTTTCCAATAAAAATAAATAAATAAATTTAAAACAAAAAGAAAGGAAGTGGAACAGGTAGGTCTTGAAATAGCTGCCTTATGGGATGCTGGCATGTGAGAGAGCAGCTTAACTCACCACACTACAGTGTTAGCTTCAGTTGTCTAATTTATTAACATTAGGGACTGCGTATGTTTCTGTTGTATACATATTTCAGTCTATATTTTATTCTAACTTGACATATATATTCTTTTTCTCATTGGTTCGTATCTTAGTGCCGTGCATAAATTCAGCAGGTGCATGTTGAGTGCCTTTTCTGTGCTGGGCACTGAGACCCGAAGCTAAGTGGTAAGTGATCCTAATTGCATTTCTGTGTTTTTCAGTGCATCCGGAGTGTTTACACCAGTAAGATCATAAGCAGTGCTCATGATCTCTTGGCGGTGGTCTTCTATGGTACCGAGAAAGACAAAAATTCAGTGAATTTCAAAAATATTTATGTCTTACAAGATTTGGACACCCCAGGTCAGTGATGCTGTAAGATGATCTTTTCCGTGACGTAGGAATGTCACTGCCCTCTTGTAGGAGCGTGCTTACCTGCCCAGTGGGTCCTCTCGAGGTGCAGGTCTCTCCTTTAAGGGGTCAGCAGCCCTGTGCTGAGAAAGGGATCCTGTGGTGAGGGTAGCCACTCGTGGCCTTCTGGCCTTTCTGTCCATTTAACTCCCTGCCTCTGATCAGGTGCTAAACGCGTGTTGGAGCTTGACCGGCTGAAGGGGCCGGAGGGGAAACAGCATTTCCGAGACTTAATTGGCCACGGATCCGACTACTCGCTAAGCGAAGTGCTGTGGGTCTGTGCCAACCTCTTCAGTGACGTCCAGGTCAAGATGAGCCACAAGAGGATCATGCTCTTCACCAACGAAGACGACCCCCACGGCGATGACAGCGCCAAAGCCAGCCGGGCCCGGACCAAAGCCAGTGATCTCCGAGACACAGGTGCACATCGCCCCTGGCTTTCTAGAGCTGTTGGAAGTTCCTGGTTTATTTTGATTTATTGAAAGGCAGGGAGACACAGAATCTTCCATTCACTGGTTCCCTTCCCAAATGCCTCTTTACAGCCAGGGCTGCGCCGTCTCCGAGTCCTTCTCAATTGGCCTTTCAATCTCTTGCTTGGTTTTTAGCTGATGTCAAGCATTTGCTTCTCACTACTCATAGAGGAAAGAATAAGGTGAAGCCGGGAGAGAAACTGTGTAGCAGTAACACGGAAATGACCATGTTGCTAGCTGTCTCCAGGATCACCTGAGCAAGCTTATTTTCCCCCATGAGATTTCTTTGTTTATTTTAAATTCGGAATTAAAGAGTTGGGGGTGGGTCAGAGGAAAGGGAGAGAGCTTTCGTCTTCCGGTTCACTCCCTACGTGGCTACCATGGTTGGACCTGGGCCATCCGAAGCCAGGAGCTTCTTGATCTCCATGTGGATAAAGGAACTGCAGTACTTGGGCCATCTGCTGCTCTTTCTGCTGCATTAGCAGAGAGATGGTTCAGAAGTGGAGTAGTTGGGATTTGAACCATGGGATGCCGGCCTTACAGGCAGCAGCTTTACGTGCTGTGACACAGTTCCAGCTCCCCCTTCTTTTTGCTTTGATGCTCCCTGGAGTGCTGCTGATTTTTTAGAGTGTCTGGCTTCCTTAGCCACTTTCTCTGAACCCTGCAAATATTAACCATCTAATTTGGGGGGTGGGGAGTATTTAAAAAACATATTTGAGTTTTCCTGAAAAAAAAAAACAGTCATTTGCTCAACATCGCCCTCTCTGCCCTGCAGGTATCTACGTCGACTTGATGCACCTGAGGAAGCCTGGGGGCTTCGACATATCTTTGTTCTACAGAGACATCATCAGTGTCGCGGAGGATGAGGAGCTGGGGGTTCACTTTGAGGAATCGAGCAAGCTACAAGACTTGCTGAGGAAGGTCCGCGCCAAGGAGACCAGGAAGCGTGCGCTCTGCAGGTGTGCACCCAGCCTGAGTGGGCCCTGGGCCTGGAAGGTGGTCCTCCCGAACACTGGCCCTGTTCTGCCGTGGTCCTCCCGAACACTGGCCCTGTCCTGCCGTGGTCCTCCCGAACACTCGCGTTGTGTCAGCTCTTTCTGCAATTTCCTTGTGTCCAAGAAGAGCCTCACCCGTGCTCATGGAGTGCGTTGTTTGTTTTCTACTCTGTAAATTGGCTAAGTGTAACTTATATAAGTTAAAAAAAAAAAAATATATATATATATATATATATACACGCACACACATACACTTTGGAGAGAAAAACAGCAAAGAAACAGCAGCAGCAACGACAACAAAACCCAAAAGTGAGAGCCTGAGATGGGGCAGAGGCGCAGTAAATGTTGTCACTCATCTCCGGGGTTGTTCAGCGGTGTTGGAATAGCGCAAGGTGCAGCCCGGGTGCCATGGGTTAGTTTTTAGGTCTTGTAGTACAGGCTGAGTCCGTGCTTGTCTTTTTCTCTCTCAGGTTAAAGTTTAAGCTCAATCAAGATGTAGCCCTTTCTGTGGGCATTTATAATATGGTCCAAAAGGCAAGCAAGCCTCCACCAGTGAGGCTGTATCGGGAGACAAATGAACCAGTGCGAACCAAGACCCGCACGTTCAGTGTGAACACAGGCAGTTTGCTTCTGCCCAGTGACACCAAGAGATCCCAGGTAGGTGACTTGACCCTTTTCTGTTTCTAAGTAAAGGGTTTTATTAATCAGGACAGAGTGAGTCTGATGGTCTGCTCCCAGGTGGGAAACTGCCCGGGACCACCTGCACGTGGCAGGGTGACCATGTGAGGGAGGTGGCCTGGACCCATGGAAGAGTTAGCAGGGCGAGGAGAGCTTTGGTGCGTCTCATCAGGCTGTCAGGTCACAGTCGTTCCTCGGACTGTGGCATGTGGGCCAGTGCTGTCCTGAGAACGTGATTCAGCAGGGCCAGCGTTCATATGGGCATTTCAGTCCTTGATCACTGAACATATGCTGCCCTGCTCTACATTCTTGCTCAGTTTATATGACAGAAAATGCTTTATAATAACTACGAGACGAGGAGCTAAGATGGTCAGCGCTGTGGTGCACTGCACTAAGCTGCTGTCCGCAATGCTGGCATCGCCTGTGGGCACTGGATTGTGTCCTGACTGCTTCACTTCCAACCCAGCTACGTGCTAATGCCTGGGAAAGCAGTGAAAGATGGCCCAAATTCTTTGGTCCTATACTCATGTAGGAGAGCCCTGGATGGAATCACCGGACCCTGACAGTAGCCCGAGCCATTGTGGACGTTTGGAGAATCATCCAGCAAATGAAATCTCTCTCTGTAACTTCATCTTTCAGATAAATAAATCTTTTTTTTTTTTAAGATTTATTTTATTTTTATTGGAAAGGCGGATATACAGAGAGGAGAGACAGAGAGGAAGATCTTCCTTCCGATGATTCACTCCCCAAGTGAGCGCAACGGCCAGAGCTGTGCTGCTCCAAAGCCAGGATCCAGGAACTTCTTCCAGGTATCCCACGCGGATGCAGGGTCCCAAGGCTTTGGGCCGTCCTCAACTGCTTTCCCAGGCCACAAGCAGGGAGCTGGATGGGAGGTGGAGCTGCTAGGACTAGAACCGGTGTCCATATGGGATCCCAGCGCGTTCAAGTCGAGGACTTTTAGCTGCTAGGCCACGGCGCTGGGCCCTCAGATAAATAAATCATAAAAAGGAAAGAAAAGCAAGCAAGAAAGGTGGTATTAGGTGTAATTTTGTAGGGAATTTTTATTTATTTATTTTTGCTAAGCTGATCAAAACTTGTCTGTGCATTAGATTGTGCAGATCTCCCCTTCTGAAGATGAAAATGCAGAATATCTTCTCACCCTCTCGCCTGTTTATAGGAACATTTGACATAAAAAATGAAAATTGAATGAGTCATCTCTCTTTTTTTTAAAGACTTGAGTTTTCTTTGTTTTAAGATTTATTTTTTAATTTTTATTGGAAAGTCAGATATACAGATAGGAGAGACAGAGAGGAAGATCTTCTGTCCTTTGATTTACTCCCATGGGCTGCAAAGGCTAGAGCTGTGCTGATCTGGAGCCAGGAGCCAGGAACTTCCTCCAGGTCTCCCACACGGGTGCAGGGTCCCAAGGCTTTGGGCTGTCCTTGACTGCTTTCCCAGGCTACAAGCAGGGAGCTGGATGGGAAGCGGCGCCCATCTGGGATCCCAGTGCATGCAAGGTGAAGACTGTAGGGCCCAGCATGGTGGCCTATTGGCTAAAGTCCTTGCCTTGAACACCCCAGGATCCCATATGGACTCCGGTTCTAATCCCGGTGGCTCCACTTCCTTTCCAGCTCCCTGCTCATGGCCTGGGAAAGCAGTCAAGGATGGCCCAAAGCCTTGGGACCCTGCACTCGTGTGGGAGACATGGAGGAAGTTCCTGACTTCTGGCTCCTGGCTTCGGATCAGCACAGCTCTGGCTGTTATGGTCACTTGGGGAGTGAACCTTCGGAAGGAAGATCTTCCTCTCTGTCTCCTCCTTTCTGTGTATCTGACTTTGTAAGAAAAAAAAAAAAACAAGGTGAGGACTTTGGCCACTATGCTACTGTGTCAGGCCCCATGTTTCTTTTTTACTTATGGAAAACATAGGAGAGAATCTGAGATTTTGCATAAGTTTAAGCAGCTATAAAAATGACTTAAATTTAAATATTATTTCATGCAAACCATGAGTTGCAATGCAGTACAGAATGATTTGCCCTACTTTTTGAATTTTTTTATTTGACAAGGAGAGACAGAGAGACAGATCTTATATGTGGTGTTTCCCTCTCAGTGCTGCGGCAGCCAGGCCCGAGCCCGCTGAAGCCAAGGGCCTGCAGCTCAGTTCCCTGCTCCCTCCTGGGCGCCAGGGACCCAGGTCCAGCTCTGCTGCTGCCCAGGGCGCCCCTTAGCAGCCGGCTGGACTGCAAACAGCTGGTGCTGCGTGCTGCATTGGTACGCAGGCGCCCAAGGAGAGCCAGCTACTGGGCCAAATCCTTCCCCTTGTCCTACTTTTTGAACAGGAGATTAAACATTTTTCTCTTTCATTTTAGAACTAGTTTTTCTTGCTCTCTTGTTCATTGAGAGTAGCTTTCTTGGTAACTGGGTTTCTTCTTTCTTGATCAGATAGGATGTCAAACTTTTTTTTTTCTAGTTCATGAATTCAGATTTGACTCTGCTACTAAATTCTGTTATTTTTAAGATCTTAACTTTATTTGAGGGACAGAAAGAGGAAGATTTTCTATCTGCTATTTTATTCCCCGGTATCCAGGACTGGGCCAGGGCAGAGCCAGAGCCAGGAACTTCCACATGGCTGTCAGTCCTTCTCTACTGCCTCGCAGGTCTGTGTTACCAGGAAGCTGGAATTGGAAACAGCCAGGACTCGAACCCAGGCATTCCAGTGTGGGAGAGGTGTTGGCAAAGTGGCACCTTAACCGTAATGACTGGACTAAAGGCCCACTCCTAAGTTGTGTAGTTAATCACCATGTAGGATCAAAGTGCAGCTCCGACATTGGAGGTAGCACTCAGGTGTTTGTGTCTGCCTCTGCACTAACAGCCCTGGCACGGTACTTGCCCGAGGTCTTCTCTCTCAGTTAGTGGACATGGTTCGGGTATGCCAGGAAGGGCTCTGGAAACTTAGGACATGGTAAACAAAAAAGAAAAAAGAAGGAATACCCAAAGGCCGTGAAACTGGGTTCCAGGAAGGAAGGGTTTAAAGCCCACACCAGGAACAAACAACTCAATTTTCAAGACTCATCTGTTAAAATATTAAAAAACAGATTATTAGTAGTCTGGAAAGATGGCTCAATTGTCTAAATCCTCACCAAGTGCCAGGATCCCAGGAGCAGCAGTCCCAGCTGCTCCACTTCCCATCCAGCTCCCTGCCTGTGGCCTGGGAAAGTAGTCAAGGACGGCCCAAAGCCTTGGGACCCTGCACCTGCGTGAGAGACCTGGAAGAGGCTCTGGGCTCCTGTCTTCAGATTGGCTCAGCTCCAGCCACTGCAGTGATTTGGGAGTGATTCAGTGGATGGGGATTTTGTTTTTAAAAGATTTATTTTATTTTTATGGGAAAGTCAGATATGCAGAGAGGAGGAGAGACAGAGAGGAAGATCTTCCATGTGTTGATTCATTTCCCATGTGGCTGCAATGGCTGGAGCTGTGTAGAGATGAAGCCAGGAGCCCAGAGCCTCTTCCAGCTCTCCCACGTGGGTGCAGGATCCCAAGGCTTTAGGGCATCCTCGACTGCTTTCCTAGGTCACAAGCAGGGAGCTGGAAGGGAAGCAGGGCCACTGGGATTAGAACCGGTGCCCATGTGGGATCATTGGGCGTGAGAGGTGAGGACTTTAGCCACTAGGCTACTGCACCAGGCCCAGATGAATTTTTCTGTCTCTCCTTCTGACTATGGATCTGCCTTTCCAATAAAAATAAATAAATATTTAAAAAAAAAAAGTTAAAGGTTTTTAGGGGTTGACATTGTGGCATAGTAGGTGAAGCTGCTGTCTGCAAAGGTAGCCGCCCATATGGGCTCTAGTCGAGTCCTGGCTGCTGCACTTCTGATCCAGCTCCCTGCTTACAGGCTGGGAAAGCAGGTAAAGATGACCCAAATGCTTAGGTTGCTGCCATCCCCATGGGAGACCGGGAAGAAGCTCCTGGCTTTGGTCTGGCCCAGCCCTACCTCACTTAGCTATCTGGGGACTGAACCATCAGATGGAAGGTCTCTGTCTCCATCTATGGCTGTTCAAATAAATACATGTTTTAAGGCCAAACATTTTCCCATCTTTTTCCTACCTAGGGTTGTTCTGGAAGGTACGCTAGATGACAGGTGGAAAGGACCTGGCAGTTACTCAGTGCTTGTTAAGCCTATCCTGTAGGAGGAGCCCTCTTCCTGCCCGTTAGCGGAAAGCCCACTCTGCTAGGTTTATGTCTCTGTGTCGTTTCTGTTTTCGCTCTTTTTGTCCTCCTGTAGATCTATGGGAGTCGTCAGATTGTGTTAGAGAAAGAGGAAACGGAGGAACTGAAACGGTTTGATGAGCCAGGTTTGATTCTCATTGGCTTCAAGCCCTTGGCCATGCTGAAGAAGCACCATTTCTTGAGGCCCTCCCTGTTTGTGTACCCCGAGGAGTCCATGGTGAGCGGTACGTGCCGGGGCAGGGTAGCTGAAAGACTGGCACAAGAGCCAGCTTGTTGGACAGCGCTCTAAAGGGGCGCTGCTTGGGCACTGGACAGACCTGAATGGAGCAGTTTGCAAGTGCCGTACGTTCAAATTCTGGAAGTGTGAAACTAGGCAAAGTTAAAAAGATTTCTCCAGCAGCACGTTGAATATGCTGAGGAGCGTGGTAAGTTTGCAGGAGGAGGTACGGAGGTAGTGTGGCTGGGAGTATTTCCCAGGCATCTGATAGTAACCAAAACACCTCACGGCTTTTCTCTAGTTTTGGAAACTAAAGATGATGTGCTTGTTTTTAGTTATTTACCTTCCTAGATGTATCTTGTTTAAATGAATGCAGAGAGGAGAGAGAGGATGCTGTACCATAGTGCTGGCCCCATGAATCGTGTTTATTCTGTCCAAACCTGTATTCCTCTCTGGCATTGCTCAATAACCGCAGCTCTGATGGTTCTTGTTCTTCCTTAAAAAAAAAAAATTATTTATATTTATTGGAAAGGAAGAGCCACAAAGAGAAGGAAGAGTTATAGAGAAAGATCTTCCCACCTCTGGTTCACTCCCCAGAGGGCTGCAGTGGCCGGAGCTGAGCTGAGCTGAAGGCAGGAGCCAGGCCTCCTGCAGGTCTCCCACGTGGGTGCGGGGGCCTAAGGCTTTAGGTTGTGTTTGCTTGCCCAGGCCATAAGCTGGGAAGTGCAGCAGCTGGGACACAGATGGTGCCTGTGTGGAATCCTGGCGATTGCAAGGCGAGGATTTAGTCAACTGAGCTATTGCGCTAGCCCCTTATTGCTTTTCAGCCATGCCTCGGCTCATGTCCTTCGCCTGCTGTCAGTGCGACTGAACTGGCATTAATAATTCCTCCTCCTAAGGGAGTAGCTGAGGCTTCCGAGCCTTGCATGCCTCTGCTTTTCCTGACAGGATCTGCTGCTCCACCTCCCCTCGGCGCTGGGTCCCTTTTGCTCCCCTGTTGAAGTATTGTAACAAAAAGTGGGAGGGGAATTGTAGGATCACATTAGGGGCTAAGGAGGAGAGCTCTTTGGGCTGGAGGCTACCCGGCCGTCTGCTTTCCAGGCAGCTCGACCCTCTTCAGCGCTCTGCTCACCAAGTGTCTGGCCAAGGAGGTCTTCGCAGTGTGCAGATACACGCCTCGCAAGAACATTCCCCCTTACTTCGTGGCTTTGGTACCACAAGAAGAGGAATTGGATGACCAGAAAGTCCAGCTGACTCCTCCAGGTATGTGGCACAGAGATTTCTACAGCTTCTCAGCCTTGCCCATGCTTTGGATCCTGACTTGAACCTACTGAAGCGTGGTCTCCAGACGCAGGCCCTGGGGATGTGCAGTGTGCAGCGGCATGAGGCAGGTCGCAGCCAGCGCTGAGCTGTGTGCGCAGGGACACCCTGCGGGTCTGAGGGTTCTGGAGGGATCCTCGTCTGCTGGGCCCCGTCGTGAGTGACGGTGACTGTTTGGCACCCGTGTAACATTTAATGTTGGATTTTCCATTTGTAAAGTGCAAAGACTGAAGTTTGAAGTCAAACTTGACTTACTTCACTTTGTTTTAGACCCGGCACTGCCCTTTGTTAGCTGATCAACTTGGGCAAATACTTTAACCTCTGTATTTGTTGTCCATGTCGGTGGGGAATCTGGAACACCTTTCCCTGAAGGAGGTTCTGCATTTGAGTTGCCTGAGTAAACGCACAGGTGCTTAGAACAAAGAGGCTGGCAGTCGGTACTCTTCCTTCTTCTCAAAAATTAACTTTCTAGTCACTCTAGGTGTGCTGTAGTTTTGAACGTTCCGTTGTTGAGCTGTGGTCTCTCAGCTCCTGGTTTTTCCTAGGTGCTCCGTGTTGCCCACTGCCAGGCTGCCAGGCACTGGCACAGCTGGGGTACAGAGACCAGAGGTGCGCTGGGATCTGCTCCCCAAGGGGCGTCTCCTGGCAGCAGCAGCTGGTTACTGAGTCTCAATCTTTCAGTTCTTCTCAAACTTGCCAATCACTGGCCCAAAATCAGCTTTGGGCCTCTGAGCTTTTTCCTTTGGATATGTGGTAGAGGATGGGGGAAGAGGGACGGTGGGAGCCCAGCGGGGGTTTCATGGAGTGGAGCCTTGGCTCCCCAGGGACCCCACCGCACAGGCCACAGGATGCATTTGGAGCCGAGCCACGGCACCTATAACCGCAAGTCCAATCCAGCACAGCCCTGTGCTTCCTCAGGCTTCCAGCTGGTCTTCCTGCCCTACGCTGACGATAAACGCAAGGTGCCCTTTACTGACAGAGTCCTGGCCAACCCGGAGCAGGTGGACAAGATGAAGGCCATTGTTCAGAAGCTCCGCTTCAGATACAGGTGAGACGGCGCCAGCTGCCGGCTGCCCAGAGCGGCTCCGGAGCCGGATGTCAGAGGAGAAGCTGAGATCAGGTGTAGATCAGACAGTACGGCTTTACTTTTCCTCGGTTAACTGACGGGTTATGATGCATTACTGAGTTTTAAAACGCTGTATAGAGTGAGAGCTCTTGTTGTACGGAAGGTGCTAGGATGTGCTGTAGTTGAACAAGTCCAGCAGAGTCCCAGCCCGGAGAAGCTTCTCATTGGTGTTGTCACAGATTGCTAGAGGTTTAAATGAACAATTCTCTAATTCAAGTGATTCCTCTCACAGTAAACCATCTCCCGGAGTCTGCATAATGTGATAAATGATAACAGTTTTTACACACCATTCCATCTTTTTAAATATTTATTGTATGTATTTGCAAGGCAGAGAGTATCGATGTATCCTTTGGTTCACTCCTCCAATGGCTGCCGTGGCTAAGGCTGAGCAAGGGTGACCCAGCTTTATCTGGTCTCCCATATGCGTGGCAGGGCCTGGATATTTGGGACACTTTCTCCTGCTTTCCCCAGGGTTTTAGCAGGAAGCCTGGACTCCGACTCACGCTCATACAGGATGCTGGGGTTCTAGGCAGTGGCTTAACTCGCTGTACAACTCCAGTTCTGACTTTTTACTCTTTATTTTATTGTTATATTGTTATAAGGGTAGTTAACATAAAGCCTGCCCTCTTAACAGATTTTTAAAAGACCTATTTGTTGAGATTTGTTTTTATTGGATGTTATAGAGAAACAGAGAAAGAATTTCCATCTGCTGGTTCATTCCCCAAATGGCTGTAACAGCGAGAGCCAGGATGACCTGAAGCCAGGAGCCAGGAGCTTCTTCTGAGTCTCCCAAGCGGGTGCAGGGTCCCAGGGCTTTGGGCCGTCCTTTACTGCTTTCCCAGGCCACAAGCAGGGAGCTGGATGGGAAGTGACATGAATTGATGGCAATATGGGATCCTAGTGTTTGCAAGGTCTCATTTAGTCACTTAAGACCATCATGCTGGGCCCAGATTTATTTATTTTTAAAGGCTGTTTTTGTTTGTTTGTTTTTGTTTTATAGCGATAGAAGGGCAGACAGAAAGGTCTTTATCCACTGGTTCATTTCTTAAGTGGCTGCGATGGCCAGAGCTGAGTTGATCCAAAGCCAGGAACCTGGCATTTCTTCCCAGTCTTCCTTGTGGGTCCAGGGTCTTAAGGACCTGGGCCATCCTGTGTTGCTTTGGCTATAAGCAGGGAAGTGGGCTGGAGTGAAGCAGCTGGGACGTGAACCGGCACTCGTATAGGATGCTGGCCACATAGGGTGGAGGATTAGCCTGTTGACACTGGCTGAGATTCATACTCAGTTTACTTCTGTGCTGCTGCAACAGTGCATGGGAGGAAAGCTTACTCACGGTTCAGTGTCTTCTCTGAACTTACAGGACCTGACCTCCTGCTTTTGTCTTTATTCTCTTACAGTGAGGTCAGTGGGTAAGTTTGAATTTTAAGCATCAGATAATACATTGAAAATTAGAGAGGCTGGCATTGTGGCATAGCAGACAGGGCTGCTGCTTGCAACACCGTGTCCTGTATGTGCACTGATTCATGTCCAGGCTGCTCTGCTCCTAATCCGGGTCCCTGCCAACGTACCTGGGAGAGCAGCAAGGACAGCTCAGGAACTTGGGCCCCTGCACCCAGGTGGGAGACTCAGATAAAGCTCTTGGCTCGGATCTGGCCGTTGCGGTCACTTGAGGAATGAGGCAGTAGATGCCTGACCTGTTTCTCCTTCTCTGGAGAAAAGAAAGAAGAAGCATTTGAGACCAGACCCTGAGCTGTTCTCTTGGGGTGTTTTCCTCTGCTGACCTTGCACCTGAGCCGTCTTTGCTGGGTTTATTTGTTTCCTTGTCATGCTTTGATATAGTTGTTGTTATCACTGTTTTAACAGAAGTGACAGTTTTGAGAACCCGGTGCTGCAGCAGCATTTCCGGAACCTGGAGGCCTTGGCTTTGGACTTGATGGAGCCTGAACAAGCCGTGGACCTGACCTGTAAGAGGGTGCACACTTGGAGACCTTGCTAGGGCTTCCTGCTGAGCCATCAGGGGCTCCCTGGCACTTGCTGCCGGGCCTTCCCTCTGGGAGAGATTTTCTGGAGCAGCTGAGGCTGCAGGGGAACAGCTGGTTCTGCAGTGATAGGACAAGTGAGCGAGCACCAGCCTCCTGAGCCCTGTCTGAATTAGGTCACCTTGTGCCGCATGCTGCTGAACATTACTGAGTGCTTGCTGTATGCCTGGCACTGTCATTCTGTGTGTCGCCTGATGTAATCCCTGTCACTGTGTGGCAGGGGCTGCAAGTGTCCCTGTTTTATTGGGGTGGGGGAGTGACTTGGTCATGGGCCTGAGTACCTGGTAGGTGGCAGGTGTGGGCGTAGCTCACGGTGAATCCCGCCCCGAGCCTTGGCTCCGCTCTCTGTGCCTGTCGCCTCCCCGGTCTGTTGTGTCCAGAATGCTGCCACTGGACTGCTGTCCCCTTCTTGGCTGTGACAATCACAGGAGGCTGGGTGGTGGATGGAAACACTGGGAAATAGATTGGATTTTGTGAGCATTCTCACAGAGATAAAAAGGTCCAGATAAGAAGTCTGGCCTGTGTAGCTTCCAAGTTATTAATGACCTCTGGCATATGAGACAAAATAGGCCCAGCATTGAAACCAGGGGTCGCTGGATAGTGTCATGGTGACCGACAGAGCAGGGTCTGGCAGACAGCCCTCGAGGCAAGGGAGGTGGTGCGTGGCCTTGTGCCCAGCAAGCTGTCAAGGATACGTGCTGTAGATTCCTCCCTGTTTTCATCTCGCTCTGCTGTAAATCATGACGTCAGGTGGCACTTAGTTGATGAGCTGAGTGCCAGGGAGAGCCAGATTTCTGTCACCCATTGGTTCACTTCCAGGGGCAACTGTGGGACTACCTGGAATTGCATCTGAGTCTCCCACGGGGATGGCAGGGCCCCATGTTTGGACCATCCTCCACCGCTTTCCCAGGTGTTCTCGTGTGGCATGCTAGTGTTGCCAGCTGCAGCCCAGCCCACCATGCCACCCAGCCCACCATGCCACAGCACTGGCCCTCTCTCTTGCCATGGTGACTCCGTGCTTGGGGTCCTCTTGTGCCGATGGCAACCCCAGAACTCCTCACACTCCCCCAGCATGCCACGCGTTACCAGCTGCTTCTCACCTGGTGTCTTCCCCGTGTCTTGCCTTTCCACACTGCCATGCGGTCTTTCCTGGTTCTCCTGCGTCCCAGGGTGCCCTCGACAGGCCCCTTTTGGTGGCTTGGTCAGCACCTCCTGACTCAACACTGCGAGTCTCCTGAGGTTGCACACTCTGGGCTGCATCTCCACAGCCTCAGCTCAGGCGCTGCCCACAAGTCATTTAACTTGTCTGCCTTCCTCCTCTGCGAAGCTGGGAGACATTTACCCTGTAGGCTGTCAGATTCAATAGAAGTGGTTTTAAGTTGAAAAAACTCCTAACAGTGCCTGGCTGAAGTAGGCATTCAGTCAGCATGATCACGGTGAAGGCGCTTGGCGAATGCTCGAAGTTATTGGATGTTTTCATGGCCAAGTCAACTGCCTCTTAGCAGATTCTTCACCTCATCTCCTTTCTAAAACAGAGCCAAGTGTCTCTTTATTTTAAATTCTACTTATTTCTTTGAGATAGAGATTGTCCACCTACTGGTTCACTCCCCAAATGCCTGCAACAACCTCTGGTCCTTGTAGAGTCAGCACCGGATACAACACTGGACTTGAACTCAGGCCACTCTTCTGTGTGTTGATGTTTTAGTGCCGAAGGTTGAAGCGATGAATCAGAGACTGGGCTCCCTGATGGATGAGTTTAAGGAGCTTGTTTACCCGCCGGATTATAATCCTGAAGCTAAAGCTGCTGGGAGGAGATCAGGTGAGGAGCTGGCCTGTACGAAAGCGGGTTTCCTTTCCGGGCTGCCTGCGTGCGTCTATCAGAGGACAGCGTCTCCAGCAGTTCTCGCACAGATCCGCGTGAGGTGCAAGCGGGGTGCCACTTGCCCGCTTTCCAGCCTGCTCTTCTCTAGATGCTGGACCCTCACTGATACCCAGACTCACAGGTCTGCCTCACTTTAAGACAACAGAACCAGGGCCATGAGGTGCTCCTCACGGGAGCTGGGCCTCGCTTGCTCTAAGTAGACCCTGCGGTCGGCCAGGCCGTCCTGAGAGGGGCACACTGCCGGTGTCTGTGTGGGTAGTCGTAGGAGACGCTCTCAGCAGACACTGCTGGGCTAAGTGCTAAGAACTGACTGAATTTAAAGTGAAATACTGACATCCTACCCAAGATGGACTCAGATTTTTCCCAATATTCTCACCAATCCTGGATCTTTAGACTCTTGTCTACATTTTTCAGAAAGATAATAGAAGGGGAAGTCTGTGTGACTTGTACGTCTGCAGCCTTGAGCCGGATGTGTGTGGGGGGCTTTCCCCGCTTCTCGCCCGGGTCGGGACCACCGTGGCACACACAGTTCTCACTGGGACACTCAGGTTTTCCAGGCCACCAGCCTGAGAGCTGTGACCACTGCGAGGGCTCTGGCTTAGACGGTAACCGAGTGGGGCCCTTCTTGCTTGAAACAACCGTGAGGAAGCAGTGCCGTGGGGAGTCAGACTGAGGGCTCTGCAGCTTCTCCCTGTGGCCGAAGGACCCTGGAAGACGGGGCCTGGACCTGCACGTGCTGCCGGTGTCGCTTGGGCTCCACGTTCCCTCACGGAGCAGGGCGCCTGGTTCTTACAGGGTGGCTGCAGGAAGGATGGGCTAGGTGTGACATATTTAACATTGTCTGATGAACCTGCTTTGTCAGGATGCCTGCCTTCCCCATGCTGGCCTCAGTGAACACTGCCACTGCAGCCCAGAGCCTGGGAGGGCCGAGCGCTGCTGCTGGGATGGCGCTGGTAACATTTCCTACCTCTCTCCTGACCCGTTCCGCCAGCTGAGGAAGGTGCTGGAAGCAAAAGGCCCAGGGTGGAGCTGTGTGAAGACGAGCTCAAGGCGCACGTCAGCAAGGGCACGCTGGGCAAGCTGACGGTGCCCGTGCTGAAGGAGGCCTGCAGAGTGCACGGGCTGAAGGCAGGGCCCAAGAAGCAGGAGCTGCTGGACGCACTCACCAGGCACTTCCGGGGCTGACCGGGACCCGAGAGAGTCCGCCTGGGAAACCAGGGGCTTCGGTGTTCCTGAGACAACCCCTGGTCGTGGAGACTGAAACCTTCCAGCTTCCCTGTGCCTTACTCTGCCCCCTGAATAAACAGCCCTGACTCCATACTGGTCGTCGTTCTTGAGTGAGGGGTAACGGTGTAGAGGTCACAGCCGTTGCCATCCCCACCACCATCAAGCACCATCCGTGTTAGCAACGTGTGCGTCTGAGGACACGTGACACACAGGTACTTCAGCCATGACAAGCCTTGTCGGGAGTATGTTCTCCTAGCCTCTGCTCTCACCTGTTTAAAACCTGAAAATCGATTTCAGAAGAAAGCTGGGCTTCTTGAACAGCAAGCTGCTCATGCCGAGTTCCCCTGAACGTCCGTGTTTGTGAACATGTGTCAGCCTTGTGTCACCTGGAGGCTGTGGCTCCAGGACAGCTGAAATGGAGAATGCTCCTCGCTGGGGAGCTGCAGGTCCATGGAGACAGGGGTCCCAGTGTCAGAGGGGAGGGCAGTGCTTTGCTTCTGGGACCTCCCCCATCCCTCTCCTGTCTTCCTTGGCTTTCCTCAGCTTCTGCTTCTGGGTCTAAGGACAACTTGAGGGTCTTTGAGGGCACAACTGAGCAGGGAGCGCACTGCCAGAGGGTGACGCCTGCCCGCTGTGTCCCCAAGCTTGGCCAGCATTGACCAGCTTTGGGAGGTGTACAGACGTAATGTTGCATCGTGCCTCCATTGCCCTTGGACAGCATAGCTGGCACTGCTCACCATTATAAGTTTGAGCAGTTTCCTCACCATTACAACAATGAACAGTTTTGGAAATAAAATGAAAGTATAAACTAATGCTGTGAACATGGCATTCCACCTAGTGTAAGACACAAGTGCTTCCTGGGGACCTGGCACCTGCACAGGCCCAGGCTGGGGAGGCCCTGCTGTGCCACGTCGGACGTGGTGGAATGCCTTGGGTCCAATCCGGCAAACACATAGGTTCCCGTGCTGTGTGCTTCACCTCCCAGCCAGATGCCTGGGGAGTGCCAGGGTGGTACCCAACTGGAGTGACTTCTCGTGAGGATGACAGGTGTCATTAAGAACTTCCTCCCACTCCTCGTTCAGAGCTCCCCAGCCCCACCCTCCTACCACAGCACGACTTTATCCCGTTGCTGTGAAGTGCATGATGGCCAGTGTCCTCCTGTGGTCTCCATCTATCTACTCTGATACCGTGGACCACAGGAGCTATTCGGAGAAGACATCGCCACCCCTTAGTTGCCTGCTGTTACGTAACATGTGCCCCAAAAATTATTTGCTAAAACCTCACATCTGTTCGGGATGGGAAATTGGGGAGCCAATAGGTTCAAGTCAACTGCCAGGTGTGGTCAAGATGTTGGCCGACGTGGCCACTAGCAGGGATGCTGTCTTGGCTGCTTGTGTCCACATCTTATGTTTGCACTTGGACTTTCAGCCCGGCGACCCAGAGCCTGCTGGAGCTCTGCTAAGTCTTGGTCTACTCTGGTGTTCCTTGGCGCTGGCTTCTCCTGCAGTGCTAGGGCGCCCCCACGTGGCTCTGTGTAATATGGCAGGACCACTGGACTGTCCCTGTCGCTCCCTCCGCAATCCCCTCTTAACTGCAATCCCACAAGGACAAAGGAGACCGGCTGGCACCCTGCTGCTTCAGCTGGAGGTCTTGGGACGGCTCCCCAGGCTGTGTTCCCTTAGAGCCGAAGCAGCAGGGCTGAAGGGACCCAGGCATCAGACCACAAGGTCTCAGCAGTCTCGGACCAGCTCTGTGGCCCGAGTCCCTGCCCTTTCCTCACCCCTTCCTCCTACCAGCCTATCCCCAAGCAAATACACTTGGTAATGCCTCTGGCACACACAATAGAACCCAGGTGAGGGAGACTGGCTGAGAAGGCCCTCCCTCCTCCAGCCATCAGTTTGTTCTCCCAACAGGGGTGGTGGGGAAGGACAGGGACAAACACTAGCCAAACATCTGGCTTCTGTGTCCCCAGCAGACATTTGTTACAGCTCCACCACCTGGCGACCACCTTCACTGGAAACAGACACCCAACCGTGCTCCTCCCCACTCGTGTGCCAGGGCAAGGGCAGGGATTACAAAACATCAGACATTATCAAGTTCAAAAACAGGATATGACAGCTTGGGTAAAACAAATGGGTGGTTTTGGATATCTGAAGGAAACCAAGATAAGGAAAAGTCATGCAGTAGAAGGCATCAAGAGACAGCAGTTGCGAGGTTCAGGAACACAGAACCAGATGGAGCCTGTGGGAAGGCAAACCCAGGGCAGTCAGTGGAGGCCCCTGGCAGCCTTGCTGAGGGCCCAGTGGCTAAATCCTCACTTTGCATGTGCTGGTTTGTGTCCTAGCAGTTCCACCTCGGGTCTAACTCCCTGCTTGTGGCCTGGGAAAGCCCAAGGCCTTGGGGCCTTGCACCTGTGTGGCAGACCTGGCGGAAGCTCCTGGTTCTGGATGGCTCAGACCTAGTCATTGTGGCCATTTGGGGAGTGAACCAGTGGATCCTTCTCTCCATAAATCTGCCTTTCCAAGAAAAATTTTTTGATGTTTTAAAAATTTTTCTTGGGAAGTCAGATACACAGAGGAGAGACAGAAGATCCTCCATCTGCTGGTTCACTCCCCAAGTGGCTACAATGGTTGGAGCTGAGCTGACCTGAAGTCAGGAGTCTGGAGTGCTCGCCAAACCCCTGCCCCGTGATCTCCCCTGCGGGTACAGGGTCTCAAAGCCTTGGGCCGACCCTGACCTCTCCCCCAGGCCACAGGCAGGGAGCTGGACGGGAAGTGGAGCCTCTGGGACCAGAACCAGCGCCCATATGGAATCCTGGTGTGTGCAAGTGAGGACTTGCACTAGGCTAGCCACTAGGCTTAGTGTGCTGGACTCTCAAGGAAAATCTTAAAAAACCCTCTTAAGTTTCTCCAAACCCATAATCTTGCCTTTGAGGGGCCTCAAAGCAGCAGTGGAAAGTGAGTGAACACTCCAGGGTTGACTAGCTACCAGGGCTGCAGATTCCACGGAAATCTGTGGTCTGGGAGAGCAGTAGAGGATGGCTAGGCCGTTGGGCCCCTGCACCCACACAGGAGACCCAGAAAAAGCTCCTGTCAGCCCGCCTCTGGCTGTTGGGACCATTTGGTGAATAAACCAGCAGATGGAAGATCTCTCTGTAATTCAAATTCTCAAGTAAAATAAGTGTTTAATAAAACAAAATGGAAAATACTCCAGAATGATAACACTGCAGTGATTTCTCTGTGAATTGGCCTTTTCAATTAAAACAAGTGAGGAGGAGTTTCACATGATGGCCCCACTGGCTGATCCTCCACCTTGCAAGCCCTGAGATCTCCTACGGTAACCAGTTCATGTCCCAGCAGCTCCACTTCCCATCCAGCTCCCTGCCTGTGGCCTGGGAAAGCAATCGAGGACGGCCCAAAGCTTTGCAACCCTGCACCCGTGTAGAGACCCAGAAGAAGCTCCTGGCTTTGGATGAGCTCAGCTTCAGCTGATGTGTCCATCTGAGAAATGAAGCAGTGGATAGATCTTTCTCTGTCCTCTGAAATCTAATAACTCTTTAGGGGAAATAAACAAAAAAACAACCGATGGAGTTTCTTGACTGATTCTGGGCAATTTCTACAGTATTCATGGAGCTGATAGTGGAATTCCGAATGTTATTGTAACCAACTGCAGGCCTAAGGCTTTCAATGTGAATGCTTGGTGTGGCACCGTCCAGTGACAGGGGTCGTCTTGTCATTACAGCGTTTGATATCTATTAGCTCTAAACTGTTCTTTGTAAATCTGCCTTCCCAGTAAAACTAGATAAGGCACTGACAGAGTCCGAATGAGAGGACATTTTGGTTTTTACCTTTTTAAAGATTTAATTTTTTAAATTGGAAAGTCAGATATACAGAGGAGAGACAGAAACAAAGATGATTCACTCCCCAAGTGACTGCAATGGCCGGTGCTGTGCCGATCCAAAACCAGGAGCCAGGAGCTCTTCCAGGTCTCCCACACAGGTGCAGGGTCCCAGGGCTTTGGGCCGTCCTCAGCTGCTTTCCCAGACCACAAGCAGGGAGCTGGATGGGAAGTAGGGCCACTGGGACTAGAACCAGTGCCTATATGGTATCCTGGAGCATTCAAGGTGAGTACTTTAGCTACTAGGCCACAGCAATGGGCCCATGAGGACATTTTAGACTGCCCAATAACCACCTGGGGCTTTTGCAGTCTCTCAGAACATTTTAATAAGCTGTTAGTTATATTGTAGTAATGCTAAACCCTTTTTAATTCAAATATTAGATACCCACTAAGAACCAGGAACTACCACACGTTCTTTAAATCAGAAATATGAATGTTTTTATTAGGATGCTCACAAGAATGAACGAAGCATTAGCACTTTCATGACCCACTGAGGGCCCTCGGAGCCTGCACCAAGTGTCCCCTGCAGACTGCCCCGGGCACCAGGCAGGAAGCTTCCTCGGATTCCCCGGGCTGCACTGTGGCTTCCAGCCAGGGTTCCAAGACAGTCCCAGAATCCTTCATTCTAGTGCCAGCTGACCACCCGTGCCACTTTGAGTCCTTCATGACCCAGGTCAGCTGCCTAGTGTCACTCACCACGCCAGCTGTTGGAACCCCATGTCCGGGTTGGGAATACATCACAGCAAAGCCAGCAGCAGGGGTGCGTCAGTGCACAGTGCTTGGAGGTAAGCCTGCGCTGGCGCCCACTGTACGGGAGGATAAAGGGATGCCAGGGCGGAAGGGTGAAGGGGAGAAACCACCCTGTGAGCAAGACCAAAATACAAAACCCAGAGACCAGATGTAACACTACAATACTTTATAACAAAAAGCAACTGGAAATGCTATACACCAACACGGACACTACGACACAACCTGGGGCGTCGGGGTGGGGGGAGCCTGGGGCTCACACCAGGAGCCTCTCAATGGACTGCTGGATGGACTGGATCTGCTGCTTCAGCTGGGAGCCCTCTTTGATGGTGACGGAACAGGCGATGACGGGTCTGGAGACCCCGCAGGCCCGGCCCAGGGCCTGCTTGGAGCGCACGAACACGTAGGGCACGTTCTTGTCTTCACACAGCAGTGGAAGGTGCAGGA